GATCACGTAGCTAAAGATGGCAAATAGTAGAACTATTTTTTCGCGTTTTCCATGTTTATGCTGTGATGTAAGTAAAAGACTTGATTTTCTGTATAAGATTCCAGTTCTACATATTATTAACTGAGAGTTTTATTATGTTAACCAAATCCCCAGTGTAGTCCAGGATAGGGGGGATAAGGAGAATACAGTTTGAACATGTTATCTGAGTATTAATGGGGAACACTGTGGAGGTTACACACAGATATATCATTTTATTCTTTCTTCAATATTTAACCCTTTCATGGCTCCAGTTTTAATGTCCAAACCACAGTGACAGCATATGGTTACTGTATCGGTTTTTGTGGTATGAACTCCTTGACTCTTATTCATTTCAATTACTGGTATGTCATGTGAAAGTACTATAGAGTATTGTTATTAGGATGCTTACACACACATACATCCTGTATATGTATATAATAAATAAATCCGGACTGAAAGACAGCACTGAGACACTAATACTAGCAGCACAGGAACAGGCAGTCGGCACCAGATCAATAGAAGCAGAGTCTACCACACCAGACAGGACCAGAGAGTCCTCCCAGACAATCCAGCACATAGTAACCACACTGAGAGCCACAAACAACTTGTGATCCTGTTCGTCTGGCAAAGAGACTTCGTGGTTTTCTGATTATTTTTATTTCTGCCTTTTCAGGTCAGCGGAACGCAAGTAATTGATGTTATCGAGCAAGGAGCAGGGGAACACCCAGGTACATTAAAACACTTTGTGTGTGTGTTATGTAAATGTGTAAATATATATTGGATACATATCACATATCCCATTAAAGTGACCAGATTACCAATCATTAACCTGCTTACACCATTTTTATATCCACTTTGTGACTTACTGTAGTCTAGATGCCTGGCCTGGCATGACTGGCTTCAGCTATCGTGGTTTTACTTTTCAATGTCTGTCTTTCATTAACCTTGATTGAGTGATACTGTCTGCTGCCATTTGTAATTTTGATTTTGTCTTATTATTAATTTGCAGATGGTCCCCAGATTCCAGTTGCTTCTGATAATGATTCATGCTCCTCACCAGATGAGGACAAGTTAGCCACTTTTGAGAAACAACTCGAAGATGAGTACAAAGTTCAGAGCAAAGCAGAGAAGCTGATAAAGGCGTATTCTACCGGCCGCTCCAAAGTATGTTGGGCACATTTTATTTCATCTTAAAGATCAACTATATCTTTATTAATTTACATTTTAAAAAACTCCTTCCACTTTCTGCAATGTATGACTTTTTCCCACTCGTGATGGCATCCTAGCTAATATTAGTTGATAGCAGGCTGGGGATCCAGGAGATGATGGACTCTTTCTGCTCCTGGATTGGGCTGAAATTAAAAAACATCATTTTGTGGAGTTCGCCTACGGCTCTCTCTCAGCTGAATAGTACAAGGCTCTTCATTCCACTTGATCAGCCATGAAGCACTTTTCACAATTTTAAGCGCAAAGATATACACAACTCTCTTGGTTTTTTAAATTAGTTTGAATCAGTGTATTTACAGGACATATTGCGGGGGTGAATGGATGGTAAAAGAGAAATGAGAAACAAAACCGTGGGTGAGAAAAAAACATGGAAAGACATGATAGCAAAGGATATAAAGGATGTACAAGGAATAGGCAGCCATAAGTAAATACCATAAGAGTGAATGAAAGTAAAATACAGGATAAATTGAAACGTCCCAGAGAGCACATTCTGTTTAATTAGAAGGGGCCGGCGTTTCAGATAAGGTAGGGATCAAGGTGATTGGGAAACGAGTATTCCCTAACATCCTCTCTATCTACTATGATGTTGTCTTAAAATTGTTTGTTAATAGGGGAGGGGTGCAATATGTTGATATATAGTTTCCACATTTGCAAAATCCTTTTTGTTAGCTTTCCTTTTGCCTTTGTTGTAAATAGTGTGTCCGAAAATATGAAGTAATTTGGTGGTAAAGAGGGAAATGTATTAAATCTCTACGTGAAGACCAACAATATAGAAGAGGAGAAATGCAAGGAACATTACAGTGTTAGAAATACAAACCTGTATCCCTAATGCTGTGGTGCCCTTGTCCCTAGTCAAGAAACCAAGAGGGAGACACTCACCTAAACATGCATACTTATAAGGGTGCTGCTGGGGCCAATTCATACAACATACAAGATCCAGCGCACTCACTCATTCACTAAACAATAATTTATGTATTAACATGTAACTGTTTTATTTCAGATCACCTCACCTAGTCATAAATAATGGGGATTAGTTGCATTATATGATCATACGTTGTATAAGCCTGCCACAACTCCAATGTTTTTGCCTAGGTGAGGTGTTAGATAAAACTGCTACATTTTGTGAACCTTGAGATTGCTGTTTGGTAAATGGATGAGTGCTCTAGATCTTGTCAAATACATGTCATCGTCCCC